ATTAGCTTTGCTATTGATCTGATCTCCTAAACCCTCGCTGTGACCCCAGAGGTCATGATTTATGTATAAAGCAGCTTTTTAAAGAAATCCATTTTCTTGTTGAGCCCCCAACGCAGCACCGTGCCAGTAATCAGAGAAGAGCTGTGTGTTTGATTTTGCCCCCCAACCCCTTTCCTTCATAGTTCACACCCCTCCTCAACGACTTGTCTCACAACACCTCAACTCCCTAATCAATACCACGGAGCTCCCGGTTCAACTGGAGATTCCTCCACCTGCCTGCCAGACAGCAAGCCTGTCCTCCTCCTCCACTCTGCTCCAGTCTTTCTCCTCACAGCGGGATACACCTCCACCAGGGCAGTTCAGGGTTTCTGAAGGGTCCGGATGAAAGTGTGACAACAACACAATGAAGACAAAGATGCCAACAGAAGAAAGACAGAAGGAGTGAGGGAGAGGGGAAGAAAAAGAATGTTTGGACTTGTGGACAGACTGCATCTATGTTCTCTAAGGGCCCCATTCTTATCTGCAGATGTCGATAACAGAGCAGCGGCAGAAACTAAAAACGGGGGGGTAATAATTACGGTCAGAAGGAGCAGGGAATAGGCAAAGAGTGTGTGGTTGCTTAAGGATTATCGCACTAAAAACAAGGTGTTTTAACTGACACAAACGGAGAGGAATGTTTCAAAGGCCAGAGGTCTCTGTGCACATCTCTAAGATCTCTAAGGTTATTTTTTTCTAGAAGGAAATAAAACACTGCTTGGGTGAAAGCTGGGTGTCAACTGGCCCACAATATTATCTATCCAAAATATAAAAGAACTTCAAAAAAAGTGTTTCTGAAAAGTCGACTACATTACAGGATAGATAATTAGATTTGAAAGTTACATTTCCATCGTTCTCAAAGCTGGGTCTCAGTACGACAGAGATGTCACAGTGCTGCTAATTAGAGCTGGCAGAAAGGAACGTGCGCGTAGATATCATCTATTGTTCCTCATCACTCTAATGAGCTTAAATGTCTTTGCCTTTATTCATCAGCTCAAAGGTTGCCGAGTTGCTTCCATAGAGTCGTAATCTTTTTCTATATTGTCTACTACTACATCAAATGATTGAGGTTCTAGTTAAATCTTTCCAAAACCCGTTGCCATTTGTGCCATATGGACTGTGCTACTTTCAAGACACAACTTGTGTTGTAAAATGTTCTCTTTGCTGAAAGCCACCTTGAAAGGAGAACTGTCTGGTAAAAATTGAATTAACAACTAATAATCTATCTACTTGTGTGCACCATTAATTCATTTGCAGTTTGACTTGGTGGATGTGAAAATAGATGAGAGCAGCAAGAGAACTGTTTCCTACCACAGAGTGCTGAAAAAAGCAAACTGGGCAAAAAACAAGTCAGAGGAGTGTGAGGAGAACAGAGACAGACCTGTTAATCACGTAACAGAGGCCCAACTTGACCTGACCTTGAACACACAAGCTTGCGTGTGCACACAAGCAGGGTCGCAAGGCACAAAGAGCCACTGTGTCGGGTCACCGAGCACAGTAAGAGGGATAAAGGACTTGAGGGATGTGATAAAACTAATATGAGGGGTTCTGCAGGCCTTCGGGGGGACTGGCGTTACAGCCAGGGGTGACTGACACTGCTGATCTGTATCACACATCAGAGCAGATCAGCGTGTGCACACAAGCAGGGTCGCAAGGCACAAAGAGCCACTGTGTCGGGTCACCGAGCACAGTAAGAGGGATAAAGGACTTGAGGGATGTGATAAAACTAATATGAGGGGTTCTGCAGGCCTTCGGGGGGACTGGCGTTACAGCCAGGGGTGACTGACACTGCTGATCTGTATCACACATCAGAGCAGATCACAACAGAGGAAAGCCCCCCAGCCACACATTAAGTATGGATCCAAAATCTACAGTATAAGCAGAACTGAAGGAGAGATTTCTGGAAAAAGAGAATATTAATCTATTTAGCTTTGAGCAACAAATCAAATTGGAGCGATTTCTCTTTATATGTTTATTTACTGGGTTGCATTTGAAGCCCGGGCAGAGGACAAAGGACACAAGGACATCATCTGTTCTATGAAAAAAAACACCCTTACAGCCAGAGATGTACAAAACTGCACAACCCTGCCCCCAATGACAAAACTGTTCTCCCCCTCAAAGAACAGGTTCAAAGATCAGCAGCTAGCAGGATGGGATGCTGTGGCTTGCATGTCTATCAGGTTACACACTTCAAAGATGCACTGCCACACACAGCCAGTGATCAGAGCAGAGGGGCCAAGGACAGGGCCACATTGTCATTCTGCCATTATCACTACTGCCAGAGGATGGACGGATCATTTCTTCTGGTATAAGCAGGCTTTTTTTTTCCTCTATCAACAATGGTTCTGAAGAATATGATCTCTTCCTTTGAATCTTGTGAATGGCTCCAAACATTCTCCGAGAGGCCAAAGTATAGAGTCTTTGGTTTGTCAGCTTCTGGGACTGAGCCATAGATGGCACTGTTGGCTCATGCTGCGAGTTTGTTTCCAGTATTGCAAAGGAGGAGGGGGAGGGAAGAATATCCACTTAAAACTCATCAACTACGGATCTGAGAAAAAAAAAACTTTCATCTATGCTCAAGTGTCATTTGCCAAATATAATCTTGTAACTTCTAATTAATTCAAACTGCTGGAAAGAATCTTTCAAAATATCACACTTTCCAAACAGAACATTTTTTTTCATGCTAAAACTGTTCTTTTCCAGTAAGGATGACTTAACGGCTCATTATCAAAAGACGTGTTTTTTCTCTCTCTCCTTCTCTCCCCTCATTTATTTCCCTCACTAATCAACAACACTACAAAATTTATGGTGAAAAAAGTTTTTTTTTAGAAAATTTAAATTGTAAAGTAGGCCTATGTGTTGAACATAACTGAAGGTGACCATAATCTGGCTTTTTAAGAGGAGATTTGAGATGCTTTGAAAGAATTGCATGAGTGTTAAATTACAGAGAATTCAATGAGTTCCACAGTGTGGAACAAATGGTACAAGTTAGTAAAAATACCCATTAGTGAGAATGTCAAAAAAGCAACTACAGAGAAGTGACTTGAAATTTGAGAAAGGAAAATTGTATTCTTATGATGACATCACTCAGTGAGAAAGAAAGGAAGTCTGTTGTTTATGGTTCCAGTCTGTTGATGACTGTAAAAGGGGTAAACAGGGACACACACAACTGGAGGCCTGTTGGCCTGTGAAGGCCCCATGGGAGTCCAACTACCCTGTTCTGCAGCCAGTCTGACAGGTGAGGTCAGACCAGAGAAGCCCTGGAAAAGGGAAATTAACAGCCCTTTGCAATTAGAGCTCTGACCACAGGCAGACACGGTGTATTGCATCACATACCAGAGAGATGTCCACTGTTTGACTTAAATGCTTATGAGAGCCCAAATACCACAGGTTCGATTGTATGTATGTGCATACTCACAAAAAACACACTAACAAAGAACTGTCTCATAGAGCCACATGTGTTAAACCATCTATTTAACCAAAAGATGACAAAGAAAGTCAGGCAGAGGGCACGAAACGCCCTGAGGCACGATAACTGGCCCCTGCCATTCAGGCAGTGTGTGGACATGCAGGGGCCCTGGAGCAGCCCTCAGCTCTGGATCAACATGTCTCCACATAGACCTACAAGAAGAACCATAACCACCAGCCAACTCCAATCTCTACAACACACTCCTATCCATCATCTCTTAAAAAGCTCTTGAATGTTAATGCTGCAAGCTAAAATGAGAGGTTGGGGGGCAGTGAAAGCTATACTGTACCTGCTGTTGAAGTGTGCGTCCAGGGTGCTTTCTCATGGCTGCAGGCGGACAGGTAGGCAGGCGGTACCTGCTGTGTGTTAAACACACACGCAGTTGTCTCAAACCTGTCAGTCACTCACCCTGTACCACACTGGACCACCGAGGTCTCATGCATAATTTGGCATCAAATGAATATTTTCTCAGTGTCCTGGCACAAGTGGTATTTGATGAAATATTAATTTGGTGATTAATTTTTGCCTTTGATCTTCTGTCAAGTGAGATGAAAAAAAAGAAGAGAACTTTTCCTGTGAAGCTGGTTGTCCAAGGGCACCTCACTCAAACTTCATACATAAAACTTTGTTAAACGGATACAACAGACACACAGTTTTCCAAAAGTGAGATAAAAGGAAAACTTACTCCATTTTGACAGTGAAATCAAGATATACTAAATAAGACAGACTAAAAGCACTAATTTGCTTTTTAGTCTGTTGAGCAGCTTGGTTACACTTTAGAACAGGTGCTAAGGGGCATTAGTGTACAGCAGGCCAGATGAAGCTCGACAAACAGCCTCTTTGAGACAGTGCTGATGGGCACCTAAGTGACTCTGAATCCATAGAGAATGACTTGTAAGGCATCTCAACAGAGTGGCATATGTCATCAACCTTAGCTGAGTTGAGACGTTTAGTAGGTAAGCATATAAGCATATGTCACTGGTGGCAGGGAGGGAATTAAAATGATGATACTTTATGCACAATGAAGCAGTGCAACAGTGAGTTCATATATTTGCGGCATACTACTGTGATTAAAATTCACTATTTAAGTAAAATATGTAACTTGTTGCTTCAAATGTGAAAATAAAACAACTCTTTTTCCAGATTTATGTCCAGATGCTTAATGAGATGTGTTCATTTTTGCTTTGCATTTTGGGAGAGGTTTCGGTACAATCGCTCCTCTTCATTTTTTTCTTTTTTGCATATACTGTATGTGTATATGCTAGTTTGCGTATACATATGTGAATATCTGAGTGCACATATTATATCTTTTAAATTGCTGTATTAAAATGTACATACACCAGAAATACATAAACCTATTAAAAATATATACTATAAAGTAGTAAAATATGTGTATGTGGAAAATAGCAGTGGCTAAGTTCCTTGAATATTAAGGCCTTTTGTTCAAAACCCAAAGGTTAGAATAATAAAATCCTTTACTGTATCTGAGGCCTACCTTGACAAGGTGCAGCAGCTTATACAGATCCTCCACCTCATCCCCCTCTGTCTCACTGTAGTGTCTGCTGGTGTCTAAGCTGGAGCCCTGGATGGTTCGTCTGTACAGGGGCAGATCCATGGCTTCAGCATACAGCTCTATGGCCTGGTGGCCTACCGTCTGGTACATGTAACTGTCCAGCTCATCTGTGGCACGGAGAAAAAATGTGTAAGTGTCTGATGACAAGTCATTTACCACATGTTTGAAAAAAAGATAATTAGATAATTATACTAAAATCCATAGGATATGATGTCAATTCTCTTTGAAATAACAAAGGCTAAACAAACAAAATTAGGGCTATAACCCATCATTATTATTATTATTATTATTGATACAGCTGCAGATAATTTTCATTTTAGTGTGTAAACTGACATATTGTGGCTATTGCAATCATCAAACTATAGTGCCAGGAATGAACAAGAAGACATTCACAAGTCAAGTCATTCAAAACTATGTACTGGAGAGAGTCATAGCAGCATTACAATCCATGCAGGCCTAGATAAAATTAAAAAATTTTAAAATCAAACTTGCTTTATTAAAATAAATATAAACCGAGTCTGAGATCACACTAGGGTCATACAGGGAAACCTCTGTGTACTGTATGAGGATTTCTGCAAGAGAGCACTTCTCAAAGTGATACCTCCCCTAATCTATAAAGAGTTTCAAAATCACTATGTATATTTTTTCCATATTTATTTACATGATAATTTTAAACTTAAGTTTCTTCTTACAATAACAGTACACACCACAACATTCACTTGTTACAACCCAGCCATGTAGCATGTCTGTATATCTAGACTGGCCCATATAAACCAGCTAGCCCCTGTGGATCACAATTAAACCCCGGCGCAGCACCTGTGTGAGCAGGACGCAGGTTAGCGAGAGCTACGATCCGGTGCCCAGCAGCAACACACTGCATCATGTTGTAGCAGCTGTCTTTGCCCCCACTGGAACACAGTATGAGAAATAGGCACAAGGGTAAAGCTGTGTTTTGACTCATTAAAATGCAAACCTACATTACAGTATCAGGGGTATACAGTTACACCTCAGCAGCACTAATATTAATTGATGAAGAACATGTTTGTATCTAGTGGAGGAGGATGCTCTATAAGGGTCTGTGCCCCAGGCTACTACAAAAGACTTAGGTGTTGCTTAGGACTATTGCACTAGCATTCTTAGGATTTATATAATTAACATGGTATATTCTGAATCTGAACAAAGTCAAAGGCGAAATATAACGCCTTTTGTCTACAAGGAACAAGTTATCCAGGGTTCGCTCACAGCAATCTATATGAAATTTACCATGCTAGCAGAAAATCATTGACAGAACTATGGTACAGTTAGAGCGAAGAAGCACGGTTACCTTATCAGCGCGACCACTTTCATCTTCTTATCCATTCCTTATGACTCTAATGACAACAAAGGTATATGCTCTAATGGTACAAAATGTGATAACACTGCTTAGTAGCCGGTGTATGTACACAACAACATGTGAGTCCTAGACTTCCGGGTTGCTAAAGGGCCCCTTTTTTATATCAAGAGGCCCTCGAAGATGCCTGACAGAAAACCAGCCCCGCTTCTCTTTCTTTCTATCCCATTCAAAATTAGGTTGTGCCTAACAGGTATTAGGGACAGTATTGACAAAGGCATGCTGTTGTCACTATACTAGCTGCACTATGATGAAAGACCCAAAGTGTTTAAAATAAATCACTGAAAAACGCCCAAGTAAGTAGGTGATAAATAAGAACAATATAATCAATGAAAACAAATAAATAAATGTATGCTATTTATATTTCTTATTTACTAACACAACAGCATATCCGACATAAACAACTGACTGCAGGCTGAACAGGTTTGTACGTGTGCTTTATTTTTTATTAATTACAAAAAAGCCACACATTTCAGATGTTACATGTGGAAACCATTTCACATGTTAGATTATAAGGCAGCAGAGTTTCACATGTTATACTGTATAGCCTACAGAAATAACATTTTATATGTGATGCATTAAAATATTTAAATGTGAGTTTTGGGCATTTCATATGTAAAATGTTATTTTACATGTGAACACATATATCACATTTAGCCTACTCTTTTCAGCTCCAATAACTCACATTAAAAGCAAATTTTGAGAAAGTGCCTTTTACCTATTATGCTATAACTTAATCTGCGGTACCTCATAACTCTACTTCTGACACTGGCATGCATTGCCTCTTGCCTCTCAAGAAAGGACCAAAAGTCCGTGCACTGGTATTCACACACAGGTTGTTCTTTTCCTGAGAGGGAGCCTTATATTGCTCAGAGGAAAGCCTTTGATACTCTTTTTTTTTTTTTTTTTTTGCTTTCTGTTGTGCCAGAGCAGAATAATTGCACTACATTTGTGTGCTTCCCTCACCTTCTACCCCTAAGCAGGCCAAAGGCAACTGATTTTGTTTGCGTGTACAAAACTGAATGAGACTTTCTTCATCCCATCTCTTTTAACTAGTTTGTCTTTTTTGTTTTTCTTTCGCTTTTATTTCATTCATCCTGAATATATGGCTAAATCTACAACCTGCAGATGAGCATCATTCGTGTTGTGGTACTGGCCAAGTACAAGGATCAGGTTTTGAATTAGTGAATATGCTCTTGATTTAGTGCACATTGGTGACTTGATATGATAGATTTTTTTTTATTAGAGTTTTTCAAGGTGAATAAATAAATAAATGATGCAGTGTTTCCAACTTAAGTATATTTTCTTTATCTTCTTTCTTCATTTACAGAACTTGATTTATTTAATATGGACCATTATGAATATAACCTAAACTTCTACAAAGTCTGACATATTTTATTTAATTTCAGCTGGACAGGTGATATTTATTGTCGGTCCTTGGGCAGGTAACAAACAGAAACTACAGATAAATCTGTAAAATAAATATTTCACAATGTATTGGAAATTTCATTTAACAGGATGTTCCTTAGACATGTTGGCTTGAAAAACTGCATTGTCTTGGCAAAAGCAGGCCATATCCGTCTGGATCTGGTTGTCCTTCAGTTTTGTAAACTCATTAATATATCACCTGTGTTTTCCAGTTTTGTGGATGATACTTTATAATGCAGCTTCACTGCCCCTGGTAATTTCCATTAAAGCCCGGGGCTATAGTATACGACTAATGCAAATTTCGTCACTTATCAGTTTTAATTTATGTAGTTTATTACCCAGACAAACAAAGAGGTGTGTTGTTCCAATTTTATTTGTGACAGCATTTTGCTGACATAAAAAAACATTTTATGTTCGTATTGTTGGTGCGATGGGGATAAAAAGTGTTGATGGATAGCTCAACTGAGACACAGCCAATGGACGT